CTTTGGTATCATGAACTCCCCAATGTAAATTTTTATCAGTATCCCCAACGATCTTTGGTACTACATGTTTCCAGCGCCGATATGTATTGGCATCCCTAGTTATGACCAACAGCTCCCAACAAGCCTTTTCTTATCCACGTGAAGTCTATTTCTTTGCATTTGAATATAGTTATCACTGCATAACATTGCATCCTCAAAAGCGCGTAGCTGATCTATCAGAATGGATCTTTGCATCAAAAAGAAATTCAAACATGCATATGAAGCATAAGCTAGATCAGGTGCCTTACAGGAAAGACATGAATCATTCAAATACGGTAATACATCCCCACAAGAGGGCATCGCTTCCAAAATCCCCAGCTGGTGACCTTCACCTTCACAATTCCCAGCAAAATCAATACACCTTGTCATTTCAAAGCCCAATTCCCACTCTGGCAAACTATTTTCAAAACCCAGTTTCGGTCTGGTAGTCAGCTTTCGTCTGACGATCAATTCTAAACCTTGTTCTTGTCTGATAGTCAGTTCACGTCTGGCAATCCATTCTAAACCCAATTCTCGTCTGGTAGTCAGTTCCCGTCTAACAAAAAATCCAGTCTTCCAACACTGGTTTGTGTCAGTCCTCCAAACACTCGTCTGTGTCAGTTTCCTAAACACTCATCCGTGTCAGTTATCCAAACACTCGTCTGTGTCAGTCCTCCAAACACTCGTTCTTGTCAGTTTATCTAAATACTCATTTGTGCCAGTATTCCAAATTCTTGTATGTGTCTATTTGTCCTTCAAATCCCAACAAATTCAATGCACTTGGTCATTCTCCCATCTTCAATCACCGTGTTGTGACCAATACTCTTACCTTATAATGTTTGATCGATCGTAGATCTAGATTTCCTTATAGGTCGTCCATAGGCCTAGTAATTTTGGTAGATCACCCGTAGGTCTTACCTTAGGATCTTAGATCGACCGTAGATCTAGATTTCCTTATAGGTTGCCCGTAGGCCTAGTAATTTTGGTAGATCGCCCGTAGGTCTTACCTTAGGATCTTAGATCGACTATAGATCTATATTTCCTTATAGGTCGCTCGTAGGCCTAGTAATTTTTCTAGATCGCCCGTAGGTCTTACCTTATGATCTTAGATCGACCGTAGATCTAGGTTTCCTTATAGGTCGCCCGTAGGCCTAGTAAATTTGGTAGATCGCTCGTAGGTCTTACCTTAGGATCTTAGATTGACTGTATATATAGATTTCCTTATAGGTCACCCGTAGGCCTAGTAAATTTTGTAGATAGCCCGTAGGTCTTATCTTAGGATCTTAGATCTACCGTATATATAGATTTCCTTATAGGTCGCCCGTAGCCCTAGTAATTTTGGTAGATCGCCCGTAGGTATTACCTTAGGATCTTAGATCGATCGTAGGTCTATATTTCCTTATAGATCGCCTGTAGGCCTAGCTTTTGGTAGATCTCCCGTAGATCATACCTTGATAGTCGTCCGTATTTTCTTTCAATAACCGTCCGTATTGATTCAAACACTCGTCCATGTTTAACCTTTCCTTGATACTCGCCCGTATCTGCTTTCAATACTCGTCCGTATTGATTCAAACACTCGTCCGTGTTTAAACTTTCCTTGATACTCGTCCGTATCTTTTCTCGATACTCGTCATATTGATTCAAACACTTGTCTGTATTTAACCTTTCCTTGATACCCGTCTGTATCTGCTTTCCATACCTGTTCGTATTGATTCAAACACTCATCTATGTTTAAACCTTTCCTTGATACTCGTCTGTATCTTCTTTCGATACTCATCCGTATTGATTGAAACACTCGTATGTGTTTAACCTTTCATTAATTATTGTCCATATCTTCTATCAATACCCGTACGTATTGATTCAAACACTCACCCGTGTTTAACCTTTCCTTGATACTCGTTCGTATCGTCTTTCAATACCCGTCTGTGTTGATTCAAACACTCTTCCGTGTTTAAGCTTTCCTTGACACTCGTCCATATCTTCTTTTAATACCCTCCATATTAATTCAAACACTCGTCTGTGTTTAACCTTTCCTTGATACTCGTCCATATCTTCTTTAAATACTCGTCCGTATTGATTCCAACACTCGTCCGTGTTAAATATTTCCCCGATACTCGTCTGTATCTTCTTTCAATACCCGTCCGTATTGATTTAAACACTCGTCTGTGTTTAACCTTTCCTTGATACTTTTACGTATCTTCTTTCAATACTCGTCCATATTGATTCAAAGACTCGTCCATGTTTACCCTTTCCTTGATACTCGTTTGTATCTTCTTTCAATACCTGTCCGTATTGATTCTAACACTCGTTCGTGTTAAATCTTTCCTTGATACCCATCCGTATATTCTTTCAATACCCGTCCGTATTGATTCAAACACTCGTCTGTGTTGAACATTTTCTTGATACTCATCTGTATCTTCTTTAGATACTCCTCTGTATCGATTCAAACACTCTTCTGTGTTATACTTTCCTTGTATTGGCGTTGTTGCTATGTTACAAGTCTGATCTCTTCCTTGTATTGGCATCACGCTACATTACAAGTTCGATCTCTTCCTTGTATTAGCATCACGCCATGTTACAAGTCTTCTTTGTCCTCGTATTGGCATCATGCTACCTTCCAACACTTTTCGTGTTAGCTTCTAATGACTCGTCGTGTTAGCTTCTAAACACTCATTGTGTCATCTTCTAAACACTCGTTGTGTCAATTTCTAAACGCTCATCATCGTCAACTTCTAAACACTCGTCAGGTCAATTTTCAAGTACTTTTCGTATCGGTTTCCAAACCCTGTTTTGACACCGTTGCCATGTTACGAGCAGTCACCTTCCAAGTTCATCCATAAACCTTAAATATCTCTCAAGAAAAACACCAAAATATTCTTTACCCAACATATATCACGAATAATAAAAACACTAACACTCTCTCTCAGAAAAAATAATTTGCATTGATATTTAATCATCTTCTACCACGAATGTCCGAAAGGCACGCGCCAATCGTACTTTCGGGTTTAAGATGATTAAATAGGGGAAGCTAAAATACCCCAAATTTGTCCTACCCTTTTACTTTTATTTGGCTTATGCATATTGCACTTCTCATTTCATTTACATACCCTCCATTAGGTCATTTAACATATCATGCTTCATTAACCACAAGGCTTAGCATGGGATCAGGGATTTCGATAGGATTTATCTGTGCTTTTAGACTCTCGTCTTCACTCATCTACAAGTTCATCTCAAGGTGTTTTCAAAACATATGGATTATGACGATTCAAATACTTGTTTCTTCAATTGCAAGTTAACTAGGATTTCAAGAGAAGTGACAAGTCAATTTAGGTTCTCCGAAACTTCTAATTGTGCTCAAGATTAATATTGGTTCAAGGTCTCAGTTTCATGATTTGTCATTTGGTTGATTCAAGATAAGGTTGGAAGGTTCATTGATATGGTTCTCTTGGTGTACAACTTACAAATTTGCAAAGAATTACAAGTCTATCAAGCCATTTAAGTTTCAAGCAATTTCCAACTACTCGTCATTCATTCAAGTCTCATCCAAAATTCCATCATTGGACTAAGTGTGCAAGTTTGTACAAGTATATCAAATTTTATTCAAGTTCGGGACAAAAGGTACAAGTACAAGATCATTTCATGGTACCAAGACATTACACCAAAGTTACAAAGAGACATCTCATTCAATCAAAATCCAAGTGTATTTCAAGACTTATTCAAGAGAAAGTACAAATTCAAAGCATAGTTCAAGTAACTACATTTAGCCATCACCTCAAAAGCACGTCCATCTTCCAAATACTAAAATTATTACAAGTTTAAAACAAAACTGTATACATACAAAGAAAATTACACAAAAATTTCATATTCTAAGCTACTTCATCTTGCTAAAAGTCTATTTCCCATGAGCCAAAGAAATATCCATTAGTCTTTTTCTTCATCATGCGTTCACGATATAGTCCCTTCTTCAAATGTTCATCCTACTTTGCACTTCTTCCTTTAGAGCTCCAAGTTTCTTCATTGACCTTCTTCATGATTCAAGCCAATTTAAAACATAGACCTTTGACACAACATTGCCAAACCTGCATGATGTATTAGCCCATGACCTGTCAAATTATAACAAAATATCACAAAAACCAGACATGCATTAACGAATTAACAAAAACCAGTTCAGCTCATAAACATGTTCAATCCATCAACTAATTACAAAAATCAGAAAAGAAGCCCTGCAATCAAGAAAATTTGTCTAAAAACAGTTTACTGAACAAGAAAAATAATTCCAACTATCCATAATAGAACTAAGTCCCTAACCGCATTACAACAGAACTTCAGCTCTCTATCAGCTCTCTAACAGCTCACAGCTCTCTAATAACCTCTAACCAACTTTTAACCAAACTTCCAAATAGAACCAACATGATTCCAACTCCCAAAAAACAGAATTCACTAACAGAATTATAACTAACCTCTAACTGATTAATCACCACCATCAAATTCTCTAACTCATTCCTCTCATCCAATGGTCGTGTTTCACTTTCCTCTAACTGACTTCTTCACTCTCCAGCTATATAACATAATTCTGAAAACATAAGTAGGGGATTGATTATTCACAAACCATATTAGATTCACACAGATAATTGCTCACAGAAAATAAACTAGAGGACTCACCAAGAAAACCTCTCAAGAAACTCTCTGAAATCTCTTCTTCAAGCATCTTCAAACTTCATCTTCAATTTCTCCTCTCTCGCTCCCCAATCCCTAAAGCATCTTCGTCTACTTCATCAATCTTCAATTCTGCGTAACCTTCATCTATTCCACATTTTTCATTCTGATTCACAATCACAACATCTTCATCTTCTCTGGAAAAATCACCATCATCACTCTATATCAACTGGCCTCAAGCTCTGAATCAACACAACCCCAATCAACCTTCAATATTTTCTTCACAAACAACAATGAATCTTCACCTACAACATGAACTCTTGACATCAGCATAAATCTACAACAACAACCACATCAAAACACACACACAGAGGGAAGAAGAAGTGAAAGAAGTACATGAGTACACGCAACTCCGCCGTTCTTCCTCGCGGTCGCAGTCGAAGGTTATTGTATGGTTCAGCGAAGTGGACGAAGGTGAAGAATGCTGATGCCGCTTGAGACGGATCCATGAGGAGACAATCACGGCGAGGTTGGGAAAAACAACAAAAGAGAGGTTGAGGATGACGGGTAAAGGCACGACAATGTTTGAATCGGAGAGAAGAAGTAATCCACTGGTGCGTTGTGGAGAAGAGTGAGACAAAATCGAAGGAGATTAAGATGGAGGCGTGATAAGGGGGTGATAACGACGATGTGCTTATTTTCGACTACGGATTCGATTAGAAGAGGAAGTAGGCGGAAGTAGTTCCAATGTTGTTAGAAGAGATGAAGCATCACCATTTTTTCCTTACCCTAATTTTACTAGACACGGGCCTTTCATTTCTTCTCAGGCCCGAACAGTTTTTGGTAGCTGTTGGATCATGCACAAAAAAGTTTATTGGATTCATTCTCATTTGGCTTAGCACTAACTCATTTTCTTGTAATACACCACCTAGATTACAACCTTACATCATCTTGAAATTCCTTTTGCTATACTAGTTTAAATTGTAATTTTTTATTAATTATGGTGATTGAATTTTTGTGATATTGTTGAGTAAAATAGACTTAGATGAAGTTTTCAAGAAGTCTATAAGTTATCTAAGAACATAATTTTCATCAAGGGAATTCGAGGAAGATTTTAGTAGAGTTTCTTATTTCTTGCGTGATTATAAAGAGGCAACAGACCTTTTCTGTTAGGTATCATTGCAACTTCATTTTTCTCCTCTTTTTTGCACTTTATCGTACTTTTTTACCGCTTTCTAGATATCATGAGAAGTAGAGCTTTACTGCTTTCTGATGCCATGAGAAGTAGGGTGGAGATGAATGATGGGGGTCTCCATTGCTGATCATGTCAGGAACCCCTCTGGTTTATTTAATGACCCGTTTAGGGAAATTCCGCATTGTTTGCCATTGTGTGCTACTTGTGTGTGGTTTGTTTAAAACCCCACCTTTGTGTAGGTATTTTGCTGGTGTGTTTACATTTGGGCCTGCATTATTCCCCCATCCCTTATTGAAGTAGGTGAGGGGGGAGGGTTCGCAATAAACCCCCGCAATTTTTTCCATGTAATCCTTAGATCATGTTGCACCATGATGCTTCGAAGTTGTGTATGCTCTTGTGTATCGAGTCATCAAGTGGGGAAGGGTTCCGAGATCAAACCCCTATGATTTTTCAGGAGTTCGCATTGGCCGATGCTGATACTCTGTGATCATTCATATTTCCTTCTGTTGTCTACCTCGATCTCCTATATCTTGGTTAGATATTCAGTTGCTTTGGACATCACATTTTTGTTTTACATCTCAATCACGCTTGTTTGTCTCGGGTGATACGCTACCCTTGGCTAAAGTATTTCGTTTCTTTTCCTTACTCTTTTATGTGTGTGCTCTTTAGAGCTTGCTTGTTGTATCCTTGTACATACCATATTCCCTTAGGATGTGCTTGTTCCTTTCAGATACAAGTTAGAATTTAGGTTGTGAACCATGCATGATAACATTAGGTAGAGATTTCCATTTCATCCATGACGTAGGGCTACCATTGTATGATAACATTAGGTTTAGAAATAGGCTAGTCCCCCTTAGACTCTTTTCTTCCCTTTTTGCATCCTTGCATCTAAAACTAAAACTTCCTTTCTTGGAAAATTAAAAACATGCTAATCACACCTAAACCCTTTTTCAAGGTAACAAAATACAAACTAATCAAATGTGGCATCTTGCCTCGAGGGCGTAACTCGAAACCATTTTCAAGCAAGGACATGATTAATTTACTTCTGTTCCAACACGTGAGTCTCCAAAGGTCGAGCTGCGGCAGAAGGAGAAATTAACATCGTCCATAAAAAACAAAAACATGTTAGCCGAACTACGGTAACTCTGATTCCTCAAAAAGGATACATAAGCATTGGGGTAGGGTCCAAGTGAGTACAACTTTATTTTTGTTACATTCTTTTCTACTTTCTTTTGCATGCATTCTTCCTCAGTAGTAAACAATAAGCATAGATTAAACACACCCATAATATAGACTACAATAATGGATACCGTAGAGTACTACGGGCGTGTGGGGTGCTAATACCTTCCCCTCGCGTAACAGACTCCCTTACCCGATCTCTCGATCGCACTAGGGAGTTCATGATATCGAAGATCATTGGTGACTCCGCTAGAGATTGATTTGCTGACGAAGCGAGTCTTCAAGTACGCCAATAAATTCTGAATCACACTATTGGGGAAGAGATAATTTGGCCAGACTTACCTACATCTTGAACCGTTTAGAGGATGGTAAGACTGAATATGCCAAAGAATGGACACTAAACACCATGTGGATCTCTTCGAATACACGCCCCAAATTTATGCCACACTAGGGAATTACCTCTTGAATCACTTGGGGATAAAAGATGGGCACAAACACATTTGTATGCCCCGGTTTAACTCTACGAATGCTCCAGTTTACTCCACTGGGGATTCCCCAGTTCAGCCCTGCGAATGCCCTGATTTATCTTTCGAGGGGCGTTCACTTGCACGTGCCAAATCAAACGATGACTCCAAACTTTCTGAATTTACCTGGGGAATCAGGGTGACCATTATGAGTTGCTACCTACAAAGAAAAATAACACTTGGAATGCATACGACACTCCCTCATGGTTATACATCAACATAAAGTCATGTTTTATCTCAGCTTGGTAATTTTTATTCCCCATGTTTCTAATGCAGTGTTTAATAGCGAATAAAACACATTTTGCATACGAAAAACATTTTATGATAGTAAAAGACAACTTTTTGATGAAAACAACTTTATTGATTGGCCTGTGAATAGGAATTTGTACAAGAATGCAACTCCTATATGAGGTAGTTGCTAAAAAGAAATGGAAAATACAACAGGTATAAATGGCAATGAGAGATGCTCGAATTTCCATCAAAACCGGTATTGCTACAAGTTCCATATCCTCACTAGTCTCAATGCCTTGCCTATGAAGAGTAGCAGTTAGACCGACCAATTCACTGCCTAAATGATATAGATGTGTATGTGTTATTTGTGAAGAGAATTCAGACTACAACCTCTCGCTTATGATTCCTAACTTTTTCTTGGATCCCCCTTTTGGGTTTTCGATCCAACGGGATACCCCTTTTTGCCTAAGTCGCCCTTTCGAGTTTTTGACTTAGCGGGTTATGATATTTTTCATTTTATCACTAAATTTTTCCTGGAATTTTCATGTCCACCAGGTTACCCATTTTTTCCTAAGTCTCCCTTTCGGGTTTTCAACTTAGAGGGTCTCTTTATGCGTAGTATTTTTTACTGAGTCTGAATTGACTGGGAGTGGAACGTCTTCTCCATCCATGTCTGTCAGGATTAGAGCACCTCCTGAAAAGGCTATCTTCACAATATATGGTCCCTCGTAATTGGGAGTCCATTTTCCCCTTGGATCAGAATGGCTTTGCGCGATAACCTTTCTCAAGACCAAATCATCAGGATAAAACTTTCGTGGACGAATCTCTTTATCGAATTAGCTTTTCATCCTATGTTGGTACAACTGGCCATGACAGATGGCTTCCAGGCGCTTTTCTTCAATCAAATGGAGTTGGTCAAGTCTTGTTTGAACCCACTCTGCCTCATTAAGCTTGGTTTTCATAAGAACCCTCAATGAAGGAATCTCTACTTCGACGGGAAGCACTATGTCCGTACCATAGACAAGAGAAAATGGAGGTACCCCTGTTGAAGTACACACATATGTCTGTAGCCATGCAGAGTTAAAGGCAACATTTCATGGCAATCTTTGTATGTTCTGACCATCTTCTGGGCAATCTTCTTTATGTTTTTGTTAGAAGCTTCGACTGCACCATTCATCTTTGGTCGATACAGCGATGCACTGGGATGTTCAATTTTGAACCCTTCGCACAAATCCTTCATCATGTTGTTTTTAAGATTAGAACCATTTTCAGTGATGATTCTATGAGTAATTTCGTAAAGACGTATGATCTCCTTTCTGATGAAGTTGGTAACCACCTTTTTGGTTACATTCTTGTAAGAAGCTGCTTCCACCCATTTAGTGAAATAGTCAATAGCCACTAGAATGAACCTATGACCATTCAAAGTACTTGGTTCAATCCTCCCAGTCATGTCAATGCCCCACATTGAGAACGACCGTTGTGAAGTCATAAAATTAAAAGGAGTTGGAGGAACATGAATTCTGTCTGCACACACCTGGAATTTGTGGCACAATTTTTCATATACACAACAATCAATCTCCGTCGTCGTCCAAAAGTACCATGCATGCAGGATTTTATTTGCCATAGAATGCCCGCTTGAATGAGTCCTGAAAGAACCCTCATGAATTTCCTTTATGATCGACTCTGCTTCGTATCTATCCACGCATCTGAGAAGAACCGAGTTATAATTTCTCCTATACATGACGTCTCCTTATAAGAGGAACTTGGATTCTAACCTTCTAAGCATACACTCTTATCACGGATTGTAACATTTTTGGGGTACTCTTGCTTCTCAATATACCTTTTGATGTCGTAATACCACGACTTTTCATCAGATACATCCTCGGTCGAGAGACAATGAGCAGGAAAGACATGTGCTAGCTCTTTGTAACAGCGGATACATATATTAGGTTCCTGGTTCGGGAAGCTCACCGTGAACATTGATGCTAAAGTAGCTAGAGCATCGGCCAACTGATTTTCGTCCCTGGGAATATGTTCAAAGGTGATTTCATTAAAAGTGGGTATTAGCTACAAGATGTAGTCTCTGTATGGAATCAAACGGGGGTGCTTCGTTTCCTAATCGCCTCGTACCTGATGTATAACCAAAGCAGAGTCTCCAAAGACTTAAAGGATTTTGATTTTGAGGTTGATGGCTGCCACGAGACCCATGATGCAGGCTTCGTATTCTTTCACATTGTTCGTACAATTGAAACACAACCGGGCCGTAAATGGTGTATGAGTATTACTTGTAGAAGTCAATACTTCCCCAATACCATGACTTGCATCATTCGAGTCACCATCAAACGTAAGATTCCATCGCTCTTTTAGATCGAATCCATCA